TGTACGCTACAACCACGCAACACGCCACACGACCAGCTCTGCGCCAAAGACACGCAACACGCCGCTCGGCTAGCTACACGCCTAGTCATAAGCATGCGCGCTATCTCTCGAATCGTGTCACGTATAGCTACGGAACCATTGCTCTCTATAGCTCGACTTCTGCAATGTGCCTACACCAGATCCTCATTGTCCCGCAGCGAAAGAGTTTGCAACGTGCCCGCAACGTAAAGCGCTCACATCTACTAGTTCTCTGCTTTATCGCCATCTGCTAGTGAGACTGATCCGGTCGTAATGAATTTTTTGTTTCAGGGAATGACAAGTTATCGAAAGATCCTGCTCTTCGTGTCCCCGTTGCACCTCAAGAATTTTTGGTTTCATCTGTGACCCATGAAAAACTCAAGCAAAACCATGGTCTTCCGTGGCAAAACGGGGCTAAAATGGTTGGAGTAGGTGGGTTTTGAAGTAGTACTTCGGTGGTCAAAATCTCAACAGGTGAGACTTCAGCGATCTTATTTCAGCCACTGCACCGTACGACGTCACTGTTGTTGGCACTTCTCGGTTGACAGATGCAGATGTGGTGAAACCCAAGCATGAGTTAATACTGGATTTGGGAGGGTACGGTGTCTTCTCTTATGAAGGTCAAATGTGGCATTTCCAGTCCTTGCACATTAATTTTTGTGAATTTTAGTCCATCATTCTTACCTACCCTACGAACCGGGCGATGCGTTCTATTTCGTTATTCCAAATCCTTTAGCCGAAGTGAATTTCATTTTGGACAGGTGAAGTTTTTTGATTAGGTGCCATTTTTTCAGAAATAAGAGAGCAGCTTAAAGCCACTATTTGAGCTCGCTGGATGGGCGGAGCCGGAGCACGACGCCATTGGCGCGCCTCTCTGCCGCCTTCTTAGCGTAGAGGGTCACGCAGGTGTTGTCATGTCCTGAATCCGCCTACTTGGCAGTCCGAACGGTGTCTCCAACGATTGGAATATGAGCCTAGAAACGAGAGAAAACAGCCACGATGTGGAACCTAGATCGTGCCTGTCTGCTTTCGACCTGCCTTGCTACGCGTTGCCAGTTCCTTCTGCTCTTAGCCTGAAAAAACTAGCTGTTCGCTGCATGGCGGGATAGGCAAGTGCTCAGGTCAAGATACCCGCCTATGCTGCCTCCTACTGGGCTTGTACACCTGGTCTTAACTTGGAAATTTTCTTCAGAATGGGAATGCTTTCTATTGCTGACCAGAAGTGTACCGTTTCCATCCATCCAAACACTCAAAAGATAAATCCTACGCTACCTGCTCATGTTCCCCCAGAGAGTTCGTT